CGCTCTCTATATGCTGGCTTCCAGGCCCCTTTCCGAACACTACTTTAAGATCTTTAACCATAGCAAACACTGTTTTCCCGCTGCGATGTTTAGGCTTCGTACGGTGGTCGGCCTTATGTTCGAAGTGCTTGCCTTTCTTCCGTACCGGGTGGTTTGCTGCAAGGAATCGACGATGACCCATGTATACAACCTTCCTACAGTGCTTAAGATACGTACTTTCTGTTTCATCCATACAGTGAGTGCAAGCCTTGTACCCCTTGTTGGACTGTCCGGATAGGTTGCTAAGTGCAGGCCAATCGTTGATGGTTACGAGCAGCAGCGCTCGTAGGTTAAACTCATCCTGTTTGTCCTCGTCCCACACGGGGACACATTCCTTCTTCCACAACTGTTTAAGATCTTCGACCAGTGGTCTTAGGTACACGTCGATGTCGTTACCAGGTTGCTTGGGGCCTTGAATAATAATCGGCATCATTATGTACTTCCTCTTCATGCATAGCCAGGGGGGAGGTTGTAGATACACATCGTAACGGGCCAAGTGCTATGGCCGCTGCTCATCTCTCCAAATGGATTCATGCCATCCGTACTCAAACCAAACCGTATGTTTCGTGCGTCCTTTCCAAATTCTTTAAATTTTCTGTCGATGTTTCGCCACTGCGAACCATCGGCGGGGTGTCTCAGCATCCCGTCCTGTTGACGCTCTTCAGCGTGCCATCGCAACATTCTAGCATTCCCCTTGTTCCTGAACAAACGCCTTAGCCGTGGTATTATAGGGAAATACCACATCACCTTAGCAGGAATTCTCTTCTTTGTTAGCTGCCCGTCAACTTCTCCTGGATCGTCCCGTCTAATCTTGTATCGTAGTGCTTTGCAAACAGGGCATGCTTCTAGGTTCTCATACTCCTCACCGCGATATAGGATACAATCGTTCGGACATGCGTGAATCTTATGAACTTCCAGTCCTAACGGGCAGACTATCTTCTTAGCCTCGTACGTTGTCTCGGGCAATTTGTTTCCCCCTGGAAGAATGTTCTTGACGAGTTTCAATAAATCGCCAAATGCCTTGTCACTAACCCCATTTTTTGCCTTCCATTGCAACAACTCCAGAGTGGTATCCAACTTTTTGTGCCCCTGCTCGCAACCTGGGTACAACGAAGTTCTGTGGTCCTCCAACATCTTGTCCAATTTATGGGCCTCCTTTTCACTTTCGCAGTCCTCCCTGGCGTCCTGCAACATCTGACCAAGATCATCCGCAACGTCGTTACCATCAGCAGCTATTTCCTCCTCGCCCGTTTGATTTCCTTCAAATCCAACATACTGAGCAAAGTCCGGAATATTGTCGTCTTCCACTTCATCTTCTTCCATTTCAACACCTTGCTCTCCGTGGGATGTCCAACAATTATAGCTTGGCATGAACCCCGACTCAAACAAGTGGAAATGAATAGTCCTGGATGCAGAATACTCCTTCTGATTTTTACACTTATTGCATGGACAACAAATAAAACCCCTTTGCCTGTTAGCTTCGGCCACTCTCAAAAAATAGTGCACGCCGTCAATAAACTCTTTGGACCGCCGGTCAGCGTACATCCATTGCCGATCCATCTACATGAGTCAAAAAAACCGTACACAAATAATTATTCTTACAATAACGACAGTCATACAATAATTATAAGATATCTTTATTCATACAAAAATCATAAAATATTACACCAAATAATTCTTAAAAACTATTTGTAAAGTTTTAAACTAATTTTAATGTGTTTTACTTCTTTTAATTTTCATTTTAGTTTGTTTTCTATTATTTAAGATTAACTTTCACTAGAGTTTTCCTTCTCAACTATTTTATAAAACCTTGTTTAGCAAATGAACTAAATTTCTATATATTCTTTCTTCCCCACACACATTTTCTCTCTCATCAACTTACAACTAAATTTTGGAGACAAAAAAAGTGTGCAAAACATAGGTGCAAATGTAGTATGACAAAAAAAAAACATTGGAGGATGAAGTTGCAAACCTTTTAGGCACCTCCGATTTGTATGTAATCACCAAAATAAATTTAATAGAAATTTTGGCATGACCTCCCCTCTTTTTTGAAGAAATTTTGAAGCTTGCTCGGGCAGCTGGAGGAGGAAGAAGACATATATATATAGGGGTGAGACTTTAGTCCCGGTTGGTAGCACCAACCGGGACTAAAGATCCCGGGGGGGGGGCCTGACATGACCTGACAGCATTCGAACTGGGACTAAAGATGATCTTTAGTCCCGGTTGGTAACACAAACCGGGACTAAAAATCAAATATGCCCGTTACCCTTTTGAACCGGGACTAAAGATCATCTTTAGCCCCGGTTTTTATTACATCCGGGAATATTGTGGAAATCGGCCGACCGACGAAAGATGGTTTCTCCACCAGTGAATGGCATCGAAGATGTGCCGCTTAGACAGCGCCATACTATCAAAGACCTCGCCAACGCTTTGCAAATGTCACTACAAAGAAAACAATTTTTCATAGCGTCACTATAATTTTCCCTGACGGTTATATGCTAAAACCGTCATAAAAACATAAGGAGGGGTGGGGGTATAGGACCGCCAGTGAAAACTGATTTTCTCTGGTGGCCATGTTAAGACGTCCGCCATAAAAAATACTCTATTTTTCGAGGCGGACCTCTTAAGTATCCGCCAGCGAAAACCAATATTTTCATTGGCGGTTACTAAACAGTTCCGCCAGCGAAAAAACAGAGCCCGCTAAAAAAATTTGACGACATTTAAAATCTGCGCGGGCTGAGATATTTTCCCTCACCCACCCATATAGCAGGCCAAACGGGCGGCCCGGCCCAGCACGACACGGCACGCCGACGGCACGGCCCACTACGGCACGGCCCGTTAGGCACGGCTCCTGTAGCGGGCCGTGCCGTGCCGGCCCACGTGCCAAGGCCACGGCCCAAGCACGGCCCAAGAAGGTGCTGGGCCGTGCCGGGCCGGCACGGCTACTGTAGTGGCACGTGGGCTGGTAGCCGGCCCACTAGTACATGTGGCCCATAAAAATTGAAATTTGAGGGGAAAAAAAGAAAAAAGGCAGAAAAAACATAATATAAAGGAAAAAATGATAAATATAGGATAAATGTGAGGAAAATTTAGGAAATATATCATAAAATATATGGTACAAATAGGATAAAATGTGGAAAAAAATAAAAAAATATGAGAAATATATGGGAAAAATTAGAAAATCGTAGAAAAAATAAATGGGCCGGTGGGCCGTGCCATGCCTGGGCCGTGCCGTGCCGGCACGCTACAGTAAACGTGCCGTGCCGTGCCAGCCCACGGGCTGAGGCATCGGCCCAAACACGGCACGGGATAACGGGCCGTGCCGGCACAGCCCACAGGCTGGCGTGCCGTGCCGGGCCTGGGCCGGCTACAGTACTGCCGTGCTCGGGCCGGCCCGGCTTGGCACGGCCCATTTGGCCAGGTATACCCACCCACCCGGCACCCACCCACCCACTACCTCTCTCTCCTCAATCTCCTCTCTACCCACCCACCTCCCTCTCCTCCTCCCCCCCCCACCTCTCTCCAGTCTCCCCTCCTCCTTCCTTGCGCCCCCAACCTCCTCCTTGGAGGGGCGCGGCGCCAATGACGGCGACCACGACTGGCGGGATCCCCGCTGCCGGGGAGGACGGGTGCGGGGAGGACAGATCCGCCCCAGCGGCGGCGCGGATGTGCACGGCGACGACGGCGACTGGCGACGGCGACGACGGCGACCTCGACAGAAGCGGCGACGACGGCGACCACGAAGGAAGTGGCGGGACCGCGCCCTCCCATCCCCTCCTCTCCCCTCTCCCAGATCGGTCCGAGGGGAGGAGGCTGCCGCCGGGAAGAACGGGCGCTGGGAGGACGGATCCGCCCGGCCGGCGGCGCGGATGTGCACGGCGACCACGAAGAAAGCGGCGGCGCCACGCCCTCCCATCCCCTCCTCTCCCCTCTCCCAGATCAGTCCGAGGGGAGGAGGCCGTCGCCGGGGAGGACGGGCGTGGGGAGGACGGATCCGCCCGGCCGGCGGTGCGGATGTGCACGGCGACGACGGCGACTGGCGACGGCGACAACGGCGACCACAACGGAAGCGGCGACGACGGCGACCACGAAGGAAGCGGCGGCGCCGCGCCTTCCCATCCCCTCCTCTCCCCTCTCCCATATCTGTCCGATGGGAGGAGGCCGCCGCTGGGGAGGACGGGCGCGGGGAGGACGGATCCGCCCCGGCGGCGGCTCGAGGAGCACGGATCCGCCCCGGCGGTGGCGCGGGGAGCACGACCGCGGGGCCTCGACCTCGTCACGACCGACGCCGTCGGGCCGCGGGCGGTGGTGCTCGGATTTCTGTGAATTTATGTAGATTTGTGTGCATTTGTGTGGATTTCTGTTGATCGTGAATGGAAAATATCGGTTGATTTGTGTGCAATGTGAATGGAAAATTCTGACTGTTTTTATTGTAAATTGTTGATGTAAATTTATGTGAATTTGTGAATCGAGGAGTGGATTTGGGAATAATTTGAAACGGTGTTGACGGAGGCAAACGGAGCGGTGTTGCTCTGTCATTTTTTTTAACTTGGGCCACTATTTTCGCTGGCGGTTGTTATAACACAACCGCCAGCAAAAATTGTTTTTCGCTGGCGGCCGGTATAACACAACCGCTAGTGAAAATCGATTTTCGCTGGCGGCCGATAACCGCTAGCAAAGATTTTGATCTTCACTAGCATTCCGCCAGCAAATCTAAATTGGCCGCCACGAAAGATGGTTTTTGTAGTAGTGTGTTGAAAAGCACATTGCATAGGCGTTTGAAGGAAGGGAGGTTTAAGCGCCATACAAATGCCATAAAGTTCACCTTAACTGAAGATAATATGAAGGCCCGTGTCCGATTTTGCATACAAATGCTTAATAGCCAAAGCATACCGGATTAGTTATTGCTTTGCTAACATACCACAAAATAAAGTATTATGCAAGAAGACAGGAACAGATTGTTGATAAGCTAACATCTCAATTAAGTTATTTTTTAGGATTTTACAACTTGTTACTGACGGAGGAAGTAGTTCTTACTTTGCGGGCACACACTAGAAAACCAAAGTACAAGCAAAGCGATTATAATATATACTCTGTACAGAGGATAATGAAATTGTAATGCAAAGATTAAAACTACAAAGTATAGCATCTGGGTGAATTTTTTTTTTGGAGTAGTTTCCAGAAGTCTGAAGTGAAATTCAAACTTTTTTTTTTGGCAGGAAATTAGCCTGTCACCATCATCACCAAAAGACGACCATAGAGTGAGTGTTGACTAGAGCACAAACCTTTAAGCGCGTAACCAATGGTGAGAAAGAGTCAACTGAAATGCCTAAGTTATTGAGGTGAATTTTCCATAGCAATTGCATTGAACTCATCATCATCCTTCAAATAATTCATCCAACAACTCCTTCAACTGCTCGGGCGTGGACTTGGGCGGTTGATTGTGCATTCCCCTTGCTGCTCGCTCCTCTAGATACATGCTATAGTGTGTGACGACTTTCTGGACGATGGCTTGACGCAGTCTCTGCCGAAGGTCAGGGTTTGGAACCTTCCAAAACTTGTGATTTGTGTAGGTTCTTTGGAATTCTGACTCAAACCTATCAAGTGACAAGTATCTTCGAAAGCCGAAAGGTTTGCCGGCTCTTGTCTTTCCAAGACTAATAGAAGGGTTTTCAATGAACAGGCAACTCAGCAGAGGGGACCAGGAGACATGGAGGTAAGTATCTATGTACCTCTGTGTCATGCTTGTTTCTATCAGGGCCGAAGATGGCAGGTCCATGGATTCAACGCGGCGCAAGACAAGCTGCCAATTGTTGAGCAAGAATATGCACCGCAATCCCGGGTCCGAGATGAGAAGGGATGCTTCCTCGAGCTTGCTCCTGAGGCAGGAGATCATATCGGTGATTAGGTTCACCACCGCGTTGAAGCCCTCGGTGTCGGAGATGAACAAGCGGAAGTGGTGATCCTGTAGGATGAATTTGAGCACGTCTCCGTTGCACCAAACAAGTGCGATGTAGTTCATCATCAGCTGCGTCCGGTGAGACTTGCCAGAAGGTGTCCATCAGGAAGGATGCCCGAACCTTCTCCATCATTCCCCAGATAGCATCACTCAGCTTGGACCTCTTCCGCGAGAAGATGCCATTGATGGCGTCGTCAAATGCCGGCCCCGGCCGCGCCTCATTCTTCCCGGAGCCGGAGCCGGAGGACATCGGATGCCTCTTTGAAGAAGGCGAGGACGGTTGGCGAGGCGTCGGAGAAGCAGTCGTAGAGGTACAGCATCCCCGGGAGCATCTCCGGCTCCCGGTGGCGGCGGCGGTGGTCGTCGTTGAGAGCGGCTAGTGTGATGGCGTCGACGAAGGCCAGCATCCTGAGGATGCTCGCCTCCGCGAACTGCACAACCTCCTGCACGCACACGAAGTCCGGCAGCTCCGGTGCCGGTGACCTGTTGCCTGCCGATCCCTTTGTGCGAAGCAGGAAGGCATCGTCGTCGTCGGTGCCGGCGAGTGATGACGACGACCTTCTGTCTCGGAGCTCGAGCAGCGTCATGGAGAGGACCTGCACCATGATTAGGAGAGCTCTCATCCACCGCTCCATCAACGCCATCAAATCTTCGACGGAGGAGGAGTCTAGATCTCTTTGTCCGGCGTGGAGGAGCAGAACCCACTCGACGTCCAGCTGCGAGAACCACTTGTGGAGGAGAGCTTCGTCATGGCGGCGGCGGCCGAACGCCCGGATGAGTCCTTGCGTGTAGTTGTCGCGGACCATCTGGTGGAGCCCGGATGACGCCGCCGGAGCCGGAGAAGCTGACCAGCGGCCGCTGCCGCCGCCCCAAGGGGATGACATGCAAGAAGACGACAACGTCGAGGGCGCCGGGCTCGAAGCCGTGGAGCTATCGCTGGACCAGCCTAATTCTCCGGCAGCGCTGCTGATCTGCGGGAAGAAGAGGCCGCCGCCCCTCCTCATCGACCACCGATGCTGATGGGGCCGCCCCTCCAAATCCATGAACGACGCCAAGGCCTCCATGAACGCGTACTGTATACAAGAATGAAATCTGTGATCGATCGCCGCGAGCACGTGCCTCCCCGGGCCGATCTCGTCAGTACTATATACTATACTACTGAGGATTTTCCTCGACCTCGCCTACTCTACCTAGCCAATTAATACTACTTGCCTATTAATTACTTATCGGCTATCGCCTATCGCGTCGCGTGCCACCGTAAACACGTCAGTAGCCGCGGAACCCTCCATCGCGACGTACGCGTTAAGTATCCCGCACTCCGTTAGGAACAGTTCATGGTAATTAGCCTCTCGGTTTGGGTACTGCTACACGTGGTGACGTGCATGCTGATTTTCCTCTTAGACATTCATGTCTTTTTCTTTCTTCTTATAAAGTTTTCTCTCAAATTATTTATCTAATCTACAATCCGATTACACCATTGTGTTCGTTATAATTAAATCTTCACAGCAAGATCTTACATGATTATATTACGATGAAAAAATATTTATATTTGTAAATTACTTTTATTATATACGTAAGTTACTTTTATCATATAGTATATAAGTTACTTTTAGATTTGACTAAGTTACTTCTTAGACATATAAAAGTAAATTCAATAAAGTCTAAAAGTAATTTACATATATTATAAAAGTATCTTAAAACAAAACGGAAGTAACTTTGTAATGACATTAGAAGTAAATTCGTTGCAGGGATAAAAATATAACTTTATCTAGATATTAAAATTAATCAGCACAGATCAACACGCGTAAGTTTAACAATTTTTAAAAGTAACTTCAATGTTAATTAGAAGTAACTTTTGCATGGTTCAGAAGTAACTCTCTATAAATCTGTTTAATCACTGATTGTTTTTTTCCTTTCATTTTTGTTTTTTTTTATGTAGAATGAGAAAAGAAGATAAAACCGTTGATGGATTGTAAATAACATTGATAGAATAAATAATAAGAATTAACCATGTATAAGATGTAATAGTTTCTTTATAACATGTAATAAATTACTTTTAAATTAATAAAATGAGAATATTTTCAATATGAATATTGTTTTGTCACATATTTTGAGTGGAGTAAAATGATGCAAATAGATCTTAAAAACAATATGTGATTTAAAAGATATAAGTTATTAAAGAGATTAAAAAAAGATACATACTATTATACTATTGGAGTACAAACCAGCAGTCACGTCCAATGAAAAAAGGCAGGCATTAAAGTTACTTTCTTTTTGTTATAAGTTACTTCTATAATATATGTAAAATACTTTTAAGCTTTATTGAATTTACTTTTATATGTCGAAGAAGTAATTTAGTGAAATCTAAAAGTAATTTAGATATATTATAAAAATAATTTATAATTTTTCATCAAAATATAATCATGTGAGATCTTGTTATAAATATTTAATTGTTATGAACACAACGGTGTAATCGGATCGTAGATCGGATGAGTAGTTTAAGATAAAATTTTATTTGAAGTATAGGTGGATAGAGTCTCTCATAGATGGAGTGACAAACCAGCTACACGTCCATATCAAAGTATGACCGAATTAACTAGCTTCTCTTTCACAACTACTCGGCGCATCTTAATTTGGCTGTGTTTAGATCCAAAGTTTGGATCTAAACTTCAGTCCTTTTCCATCACATCAACCTATCATACACACACAACTTTTCAGTCACATCATCTCTAATTTTAACCAAATTCAAACTTTGCGCTGAACTAAACACAGCCTTTGTAGGTCGGTATGCATACACATATGAATTGGATAGGAAAACAAACAACACAGCAAAATTACAGCGAACACAAAAAGACTTGCGCGTTAAGTATGACGGAAAACAACAGTTGAAATTAATATACATATTAATTGACAGCGGTCGCAAGAGAGGAGGATAACAAAGCTAACAGCTAATTGAAAGGGACATCACTCGCGTAATGCCACAAAGTCTCCCAGTTAAACAACCTTGGAAAAGGCTAGCTTGCTGCAACGAACTCAGCAGAAAATTACAACCATATATACGAAATAAAGGGAAGGATCTCAGGAAGCTCCCTGTCATGTACCATCGAAGCTGAGAAATTATATCTTACTATCAAGTTACAACCCATTAAATCTTAAAATTCAATATAACTCTTCGAAAGAAGAGTGTGGTGGCAAGGTTACAGATCGATATTACAGCTCGATTACATACAACTAGGTGGTGGCAAGGTTTGATGCCGCCAGTGGCGGAGCGACATGCCGCGCACTGGCACAGGTGGTTCCATAGCTTCACCGTCAAGAAATGAGATAAGCGGTAGCTTTACCACGACTTGGCTTGGCCATACAAAGCCTAGGTTCAAGCCCGTGGTTAGATGTTTGTGTTTTTTTCAAAACCGTGACCAATTAGCAAAAACATCGCCTTTCCATTTAAAGCTTAGAGTCAGTACTATGTGCATCTAAGCACAAGCCTTAAAGATAGAACTAAATCATGAGGCTTGTGCTTAGATGCATATAGTACAGACTCTAAGCTTCAAATGGAAAGGCGATGTTTTTGCTAATTGGTCACGGTTTTGAAAAAAATTACACAAACACGAAGTAGAACGCTGACGCCCCAAGCGGTGGAGAAGGAGAGCGCCTCCTCCTCCATCATGGGCGCGTATACCTCTGGCTCGTACGCGAGCCCTCCGGCCACCACCTCCGCATCGCCCCCGGCTGCCGCCGTGATCCGGCCGACGAGGTTCGCGACCCCGTGGGGCTGCCGCATGGGGGGAACCCAGAACGACCCCCCGGCGACGAAGGGGAGCTAGTCGGGCGCCACACGGCGCACCATGACGCCATGAATCGCCTCCTCCAGGCGCCTGACCCCGACCATCTCCACCGACGCAGGGGAGGAGGCGGGGCCCAAGGTGGAGGCGTCCGCGGCGGCATCGTCCTCGGCGAGGTTGTGGACCCCCGTTTTTATAACAGGAATCAATCGTGTAAACAGTACCATTTTCCTGGATCAAGTAGTCTGGTACACACGAATTCTTAGCTGAAATACCATGTGCACATACACGAGTGTCTAGTACGAATCATTACATCATAAGCCCGCAGACATAGTCTTAAATCATCGGACCGAACGGTCCGGAATACATCCCAAAAAAAGAAGTAGGTAAGGCAGCGGAGTTAAGGCAGCGGCACGCCATTGCCACAGGCAACGACCGTAACTAAGACCTACTGGGCGCCATCGTCTTCATCACCCTCCTGGTAGTAAGCGTAGGGATCCTCCGAAGCTTCATCTCCGACCTCTGATTAAGTTTGTATATTGCAAGGGTGAGTACCAACCGTACTCAGCAAGCCACCACAGCAATAATACACATGACAGGGGTATTCAAAGGATGGCTATGGTTCTTTTGCGCAAAGCAAGTTTTGTAATTCTTTTCACAAGCCTAAGACCTAGCACAGATTGATCAAATTTTAGTACCAGTGTTCATATTAAACAATGACGGTTCTGTCCACCATCCATTGTGATCCTAAGGATAGCTTCCCGCCATTGAGTCGTCATGGTTTTCTGAGGACGTCCACATTCCCGCCTCTCAGGAAGTGGCTCCATCAGCATAGAAATCATCATGCAATATCCCATCCCACACAAATTAAGAATTTAGAGTCTAGCCAAGTGTAATACATGTCCCGGTGCTCAATAACCGCGAGCACGGCTATTCGAATAGATTTGGTTTACTCACACTGCAGTGGATGTACACTTTACCCGCACTCCGCGACTGTCCAACACATGAGCCTCGTCCCAACACATGAGACGCGTCACGGCAAAGCCTTTTGATAACCTCGCATTGGCAGTACCCACTCCATGAACTTTAGTCCTCATGCACTCTAGGCGTCATACGTTTCTAGCAGTGAGAGGAGTTCTGGCGCTCCCGGGAAGGGAAAAACACACACTGCTACGTTGCTTCTTGTCGTTGAACCCAGTCCATCATGATTGTTCTCTTATGGGTATCCTCATGTAGTATTGCCAAGCCAGCCTCTGACCATCTGGAACGGGCATCCACCATCCACCTGGCCATCCGAATCGGGCATCCGCCAGCAGACTGCTTGCCGCATCACACACCTAAAAGAAGACCACTACGCATGGATATTGCCTCCGCTCAGCTATCTACTCCGCTAGGTCTATACCCATACGAGAAGTGCGGTTGTACGGGGGTCGTTTCATGCTTAACTTCATGGCTCGGTCCTTAACTGACCAGGGACGGCACTAGCCTTTTTCGGACACCACCCAAAACCTCCAGCCGCCCCAGTCGAAAACAGTTGTTTAGTTTTTATTTCTCCTTTCACAAATCATGTCATCAACATCATGGAAATGTGGCGCTCATGTCTCCACATGCCACATCTCAATTACCTTCCCAAAGGTAATTGCCCAAGCATATAACATTTGATAAATATGAGTATGCATGATTCTAAAATAGCATTTCTAAGCAATTGTCATAATTGACTAGGGACTCATACGTAAACATGGTTACAAGGATTTTAAGGGTAAACAATAATCAAGGCATGGCATAATCACAAGTAGGATGTTTATCATTGCATGCAATTTTATTTGTAAACAAAATAATTTCGCAATTGGGATCAACATGTTCAAAGAATAGTGATGACTTGCCTTGCTCAAAGTCTTTCGGGTCTTGACCTTCGCTTGGATCCGCAACTCTCTCGGACTCTATAGTTACGTGCGAAAATTGATTTGAATTCGGTTAGAATTCAAATAAAAATCCAAATCAATCCAAATGAAAGTCGAATGCGAAAGTCGATTCCTTTATATTAACTTTACTATTCGCGAACTAAGGCAAACCCAATTTTGATTCAAACTATTTTGCGGGTATAAATATTTTGTTGTCATAAGTTTTTAATTTAATCTACCCGAGCATTATATCCATATAATAGGTTAGAAATTTCTATCGCGAGCTAAATATCGGACGAAATCCTAGAAATATTATACAATTTAATTTAGTCTATGACTAAATGATTAAATATAATACACGGCTAAAATCCCTAGTAATTAAATCCGAATTTCTACCGTGAATCGATTACTTATAGGGATTACCCAAAAATAATCTATAATAATATATAAGAATTCATCTATTTGTTTAGTTATGAATTACATCTAAATTACTACCGCGAATTGATTTCTTATAGAAATTACCAAGAATAATCCATAATTTATATTAAATTTTGCAATTCTACGACTATAATTAATCTATAATTAAATTCTAATTATTTTAAATTTTCTAAACTTCCCTAATCTCCCCCTAATTTCTTTTTTTTTTCTTTTCTTTTTCTCTCCTTTCTTTTCTTTTTCCTTTTCTTTCTCTCTTCCCTCTTTTCTCTCTCCCGGCTCCTTTCTCCCTTCCTCTCTTTTCTTTTTCTCTCCTCCCTCCCGGCTTCTTTCTATCTCTCTCTCTCGGCTCTTTGCTCCCCCGGGCGGCGACGGCGGTGGGCGCGAGGTGGAGGGGGGGAAAGACGGCTCACCGGCGGCGGCGGTGGCGGCGACGACAGCGACGGCGGCGCAGGACACGGCGCGGCACCCGGTGCGGTGCGGCGTCACCGAGGTCGGCGGCGCGGCGTCACCGAGGTCGGCGGCGCGGCGGCAACGATGGTGACGGCGGCGCAAGTCGCGGCGTGGCGCGGCGACTTTGTGGCGGCGGCGCGGCGGCTCGGAGACGGCGGCGCGGCGGCACGACGACGGCGGCGTGTGGAGAAGGGGGGAGAGGGAGAGGAGAAGGGAATGGAGTGGGGAATAATGGAGAGGGGTGGGGGTGTTTATAGGGAAGAGGGGAAGAAGGAGAGGGGGAGGGGCGGCGACACAACGGTGGTGACGCGACGGGTGGCGACGTGATGGCGGCGCGGGGCTCGGGGCGGCGCGGGGCTCGGCGCGCGGTGATGGGACGGCGACGGCGACAGCGGCGCAGGCTCGAGGCGGCGATGGAACGCGAGCGGCGACGGGATGGGCGGTGACGGGGCGCGTGGGCGCGCGGGGCGGCGGGACGGCGGCGCGACGGCTCGGGGCGCGAGGCGCGAGCGGCAGGCGGCGATGGGACGGGCGCGTGGCGGGGCAGGGGCGCGGGGCGCGAGGCGACGACGCGACGGCGACGGCGATGGCGCGCGGCGCGTGGTGACGGCAACGCGACGGCGACGCGGCGCGGCAGCGGCGGCAGGCGGCGATGGCGCGGGCTCGGGGCGGCTAGGGGCAGAGGTGGGAGAGGAGGGGGAAGGCTAGGGACCACATCGAACACCTACGCCATAATGAACAGTGTATTTTCCTATTTATCCCGATTTTAGTTTATTTTCCATATAAATTTGATTCTATAATTTCTAAATCTTGCATAAATGAAGTTTACTCAATATTTGTGTTATCTCAACTAATGAATTCACCCTATATTAATATTACTCATATTTTATTTGTATAATTTATTTGAATTTTTAATTAGGGTTAATTCTTGTTCCATTGCATTTAAATCTAATTAATACAAATATGGTCGCGATGATATTTTATTTATTTCTATCCTTACATAATCTTTATTTTAAATTATAATTTATTTATTTCTTTGACCAAATCTAATTTCAGGGTTGATTCCTAATTAATTTTCCCCTATTTGTGATCGATGAGTTCCGAAATCAAAATCTAATAAAATCATCGAATAAAATTGGCATGATGCAATTTGTTTAAAAAGTTTTTGAAGGCCCATATTTTTAGAGTTTAGATTTTTGTCGGTCGAATTTTCAGGGTGTTACAGAGGTCGATCTCGATGACCTCAACCTTGGTGGCGAGGCCGCTGAGAGAGAGGAGGGGCGTCGCCGCCAAACGGGCTAGGGTTAGGGTTAGGGTTTGCGCGAGGAGGCAAGCCATCGAGGAGGGGGGAATGGAGGGATGCGGAGATTGGGACGAACGACGACGACGACGGCAATGAAAGGGCGAAGGGGATAGGGACGGGGGGAGAGACGAGAGATGTCAGATGCCGCGGAGATGAGAGGATAATGGGGTTAGCTCACGTGATAGGTGCGTGCGTATGTGGGCCCCCGGTGTCGGTGTGACAGGGGCGTCGATCGGCACATCATTGTTAGCCAAAAGGCCTACGGCCCGACCCATGGCATGGAGATTTGGCCTGGTCTAGGCACGACATAGCCTGATTGTTGTTGGGCTTGTGCCGGCCCGACCTGACCAACGGGCTGTGCCCGGGCCTCTTCCTCGGCACGACGGGCCCAACAACAGGGAGGCAAAATAGGCTTATTCCAAGGCACGGTCCAAAGAAATGAAGGATGTAAAATGGGCTTATTTCTAGCCATATAAGTCACGGTCTAAAGAGATGAGGGAGGTAAAATAGATTTATTCTAAGATGAGCATGATGGGCTGGTCGTGCTTTCAGGCCGAACTGCATGGCCCGCATCTTATAAGGCCGTGCCTGGGTCACAAGTACAACCTGTGGGTTGGCCCAGCACGGCACAAAGAGTATGACGGGCCGTGTCAGCCTGACATTTGCCTTGGATCGTGCTCTAGCTAGTCGTGTCCGGGCGACGTTGTGCTTGGTGGCCCATTTGACTTGGTGCATTAGGAATCATTGGGATCAGGTGCAGTGCATGCCCATTTGCCCGTTTACATATTGATCTATCTTGTTCATATTTTTTTAATTTTTTTCATAACCATTTAGATGATATGTAATAAACGGGTGGACGTTCACTCGAGCTGTTAAAATAGTTTCCCGGTGCAATTTAGGCAGCCGATCAATCTATAACGCCTACAACGTATCAAACGGATGAGACTAAAGGAAATATGCTTCTTCTCGAGATCATCTGCTTCTCCTATCTATTCCTTTTTCTTTTGCATACTTCGTCACTTGAAGCAATAACAACTTGGCCAAGAGAACCCCGCGGTTCAATTATGAAAACGGGCCGAACTCATCACATTGTTCAATTCCATCAAGATTCAAGGTTGATTGGGGTTTACTTGTGCTCCTCATTGGTCAAAGCATTCTCATTCTACGCTACTGAGTTCCGAATCGTTCGTTAGTTTCATGCGTAAGAGCAAGTACAATAGAGCATAGTCCGCAGGCTATAAAAAGTAACACATCATCCAAATACACATGTGGAGGAGTAAGAAAATTGGAGAGGGAGGGTAGGGGGCGCTAGCGCCAGGCTGCGCAAGAAACAATGTAAATCACGGGTAAGTGGTAACGGTGCAAATCAATGAAATAAGTAAACCAAAGGAAAATTTTCTTTCCTACAAGTTATAGAGAGAAAACATAAGAAATTTTACATCCACTCAAACCTCCATTTTTTCTATTCCCATGTTGAAATTCTCAAAACAAATAGGCCCTAAACTGAATTAGAGCTATTACCTATCTCGAGGACCTGATCCACTATAAAAGTTCATGTTTCCCGTCCTCTTCCAATCTCGCGTATACCTTGGTATCAATGCACCTTACGTCCTTGAAATACCGTTGTTGGTTACATTACTTCGACAAAAACATATGTTCAACGGTCAGCTGCTTTGGGCCTATTTGGTACATCTTCTATTCTGAGATCCTTGTCTCCTATAGTTCCTATAGTTAAAGTTGTACCAAACACTTCTGAGATTATATATAATATGAACCAGGGTTAATGGATTGACTCGACAAAAAATGGACAATGAGAATGGAGCGACATTCCCTCCGCTCAGCCCTTGGAGTAGGAGGTATACCAAAAGGTCCCTTCGTCTATTTAAACATAGATGTAATATTATATTATATATTTTAAAAATTACAATGTAGGTTTTATGATTTCTATTGTAAATTTAATTTAGAATAAATTTTACGAAACTACAAATACTTTGACCAAAGTATCACAAAACTAGATATTTAAGAATGTGTATCTAAAACTACAAATTTAGCATGAAATTTATCATAGAACTACAAATTTTAGAGTTTATATCCATTGCACTATTGAGATTATAAAAGTTTAATTTTGTGATTAAACTGATGTTAAATCTGTAGTTTTCTGATATGAAACCTTAAATATGTAATTTTGTGAAAAATACAATTTCAAATCTTTAGTACATGTAGTTTTAGTTTTGTGAAATTTACTCTTTAATTTATAATTTAAAAAAATGTCTGAAAATGTGGCGCTATAATTTAATAAAAATGCTTACAATCGGCCGTCCGATGTGAGGCGCAAACGTCGGACGGACGCGCGAGCCGTTCGATCCGCTAGGAACGACACGAGACTAGCAGGTAGCGAACCTTATCTCTTCATCGCTCATTGTCGTCCACTCATTTCCCTCACCCTTTCCTCCCTCCTCCCCTTCTTATCTCTCTCTTCTCCAAGAAACCAGAGCTGCTTGCAAGTCCAAGCTCCTAGGTGATGCAAGCTCCAAGGGGAGAGGGAGGTCTGGTCGGCATGCGACGGTAGCGTGGTCGACACTGGAGTGGGAGGTCTGGCCAGCGTGCGATGGCAGCGTGGTCGCCGATGTCGCCTAGGCAGCAGCAAGCTCCTAGGTGATGCATGCAGCGACCCTACGCGTCAAGCTGACCAACCAGGCGATGGCACCACTTCTTCTCTCGCGTTCAATGTGTCGCCGTGGAGGCCGGCACCGTCATGGACGTCGACGCCTCACCACCGGGAGCATGTAGGGGAGAAGTACAAGAACGGGTGTGTTGAGATTTTTTTCAATGTTTCAGATAGTTTAGTTTGATGTTTCTTTGGGTTGGATCGAATGTTGCAATTGGATTTTAGATGGTGTTCCATAACTTTGCTCCTTGATGCAAACCACCAATGGAAATTTGTTGTTTCACATGTGTGAATGAAATGTTTCGGTCATGACTTGAATATGTTTCAGCATTTTAACAATGTGAAACATTTTTTTCTAGTGGTGAAACATTTTCGTAGTAGCGCTGAAAGAGCGCCCAATTTTTTATTTTTTGATGTTTCACCCCATGTACCATAATATAGTTAGATTTAAAATGTTCCAGTGAGGTTGTCAGTAGTGTTTCATTCTTTTTTTTCGTCGTAGTTGGATGTGTTTCATGTTTCATTTTGTACCGTGTAGTAAAATGTTTTATTGCGTGATTTGATTGTGTTTCACTATTTTTTTTAATGAAACATATTTAGGAGAAAAATCGAGCGCCTGATTTATAGGTGCTTCCGCCGGCGACAGAGAGAACCGCTGGTGGCAGAGTCGTGCCGCGCAGCGCCAATCGCGCCACCGAGAAGATCACTTCGAGCTAGCGGTCAACGGGTTTATTTTGTTCGGGACGTTGCAACCGCAAGGCAGGGTGTCCTGTGCACACTTTTAATCGACGGCTAACAGCGTGCGCGCAGATCAGACGGTTCATATATACGTCTGAATTGACGCGTAGCGCTCTCCATAGTTTGGTCCTTGTAATATTGTGCTTTACTAAAATTTACACCATTTACAAATATCAAATATAACTACAGGTGTGTAGTGCACATGCACATGAACATGCATTGTATATTGACTTTTCTATAATTGTGAAAGTTAGCCATCGAATAGTACTATACCGAAAAAAAAAGAAAAATCCATCTGTCAGTCTCACATCCGGTCCCACATGTCAGTCTCACGTTGCTGCTCTCGTAACAAACACGGATTACACGAGCTCTTATATATATATTTGACTCCCGAAATCTCGACGCTTACGGCGGCGCGCGACTACTATTACGGCGATCGGATCTGCTCGCCGCCGCCACCGCCACCGCCGCCGCTGACGACGACGACGACGACGACTGAGCGAGCCATGGACTATTTCACGGGGACGGGGACTATCGTGGTCTCCGACGACAGCCTCTACGCCGCCTTCGGCTACGGCGACCCCTTCGGCTTCGCCCCGCGCGCGAGGCCCCCGATCCGTTCCCTGCCCTTCGCCGCCGGCGGCTACCAGTGGTGCCTCTGGTTCCACCCCACCACCTTCGCCGGCTTCTTCGGCTTCGGCGTCGAGCTCCTCACCGCCGGCGCCAAGGCCAGGGCGTCCTTCGAGTTCGGCCCCGTCGACGCCGCCTCCCACAACGTCATCGTGCGGATGCCGCCCTTCCTCTTCGACCACCCCCACCACCCCATGGTCATCATGGTCTGGCCCAAGGCCATGCTCGCCGAGGAGGCGACACTGTTCGTCCGCGACCACGCCGTCGTGTTCCGGGTCGACGTCACCGTCGTCCCGGACGAGCCGCTGCCTCCGGACGCCGGCGTCGGCGACGACGACGTGCTGCCGCCCTCGGACATGCTGGCCCAGCTCGGCAACGTCTACGACACCAAGGAGGGCGCGGACGTGACGTTCTCCGTCGACGGCGAGCTCTTCGCCGCGCACCGGGTCATCCTCGCCATGCGCTCGCCGGTGTTCAGGGCGGCGGTGTACGGCGAGATGAGGGAGAGCGGCCGCGGCGGCGGACCGATCGCCATCGACGACATGCGCCCCGACGTGTTCGACGCGCTGCTCCGCTACATCTACACCGACGCCCTCCCCGCCGCCGCCGACGACGACGACATGGAGGCAACGTGGAGCGACCTCCTGGTCGCCGCCGACCGGTACGGCGTGGAGAGGCTGAAGCTGATCTGCGAGCGCGCGCTGCGCGGGAGGCTCGACGCCGGCAACGTCGCCGACATGCTGGCGCTGGCCGACCGGCAGCACTGCGAGACGCTCAAGGATGCTTGCATCAAGTTCATGGCGACGTCGGGGAAGATGGAGGAGGTGAAGGCGAGCCAGGGGTACGTGCAGCTCCGTACTTCTTGCCCTTTGCTCTTGGTCGAGGTTTTAGAGAAGTCAAGCAAATTTTGCAAACCTTAATTACTAGGACAACTGGACAATTGTACAGATTAATAAAGGTAGTGATAAGTGGATACAATATGTTATAATGTTGGTCTTTTGGCCATTATTTTTCTATGCCTTACGGAATACGTACTTTAATGAAAACTGAATACTCCGTATGTAAAAAAAAAAATCCAACCTACGTAGGAATATGACAATGTGACACTACCTAGGACAACGGATATGAACAAACTGATCCGCAGCTAGGTTGGTTTTCCTTGGAACGGAGAGAGTACATCACTTTCAACCTCTGCATGTTCTATTCTTTCCTCTCTCATCCTACCTCCTTTCCCCAAATCCCCCATTCCGTTCTTCCTCTGCTAGGCAAGATGACAAGATGTAGACTACGCATGATTACCACCGGCATCGAGTGACCTCCAGGAATGCCTGATTCTCATTTATATACAGATGGTGGCCGATAGAGAAACGGGAGCCAAAGACCAAATCGGCGTCTACCTTGAGCTCATCACCAAGGGAACCAAGGCGAGAGCCTCCTACAAGCTCAGACTACTCAACCATGTCACCGCCTGTCCTTGCTTGTGGTACACCTGCCCACTCAAAATCTATGACTCTATCGATGATAACAAATCTTTCACCTGGGGAACCAAGAAATTCGCTGACAGGAGCAAGCTAGAAGTCGCATCGGAGTATCTACAAGACGTTCGCCTCGTAATCGAGTGCGATGTCATGCCATTAGTAAGGATCGAAGCGATCGCGGAAATCATCCGATCACCTTCTTCTCCTTGGTCGCAACTGTCAGAAGACATTGGCAAGCTGCTAGAGATGGAGACCGGACGGAGCCGACGTGAGCTTCAAGGTCAACGGTGAGGCCATCGACGCGCATAGCATGGTGCTGGTGGCACGATCACCGGTGTTCAAAGCGGAGCTCAACAGGCTGATTAGAGGCGAGAGAGGGCACAAGATAACCATCTAGGACATGCAACATGTTGTGTATGTGTCCTGGATGGTTATCTCATGCCCTCTCTCGCGCCTCATTGGCCCATGGAGCTCCACTTTGAACACCATTGATCGTGTCGCTAGCACCATAAGACGGGCCAATGAGAGGGAAGAGAAATATCTCGGTGAAGAAGAGAGGAAGGAGTTGATCAAGCATCTGCTCATTACCGTGGATCGCTATGCTATCGAGGGGTTGAAGACGATGCTCGAAGACGGACTCTGCAAGGTCCTTAGCTTAGGCAACGTCAAGGAGATGTTTGCCCTAACTGATCAGCATGATTGCAGCATATTGAAGGATGTGTGTTTTGAATTTATCACCTCCTCATCGGTCCATGGATTGGGCGATGTGGCTTTGAGTGAAGGGTATGAGAGCCTACGAGAATCTTGTCTTGCTGCCATAGTAGATGCCTTACAGCGAGTACAATAGCAGGCTATATGGGCAGTCCTAATCCTCCACCTAGGATGGTGTCTATAGCATTAACTACATTGCTATGTAGGACTTTTAGCTTATGTGGCACTATATTAATTGAGAGAGAGAGAGTGAAGAGAGGAAGAAACTGGGTCTTATGCAAGACACAGCTTCAACACGAGAACCTATGCATTAGACACTATCAAGTTTTGCATTGGGAGAGAATAATGTCTTCCTAATAGATGAAGAATAAATATGATTGGTAGAGAAGAGAGATGATGTATTTATTAATGGCCCACTTTAAGAAACCATGGGTTGTAGAGTAGAGTGTAGTTTCTATTGTGATGTCTTATTGACATGGCACCATAGACACTGCTTATGGGCACTATGGGTTGGGACTGCTCTAAGTCAGCTCTAAGCACACATGGAGGAGAGAAGAGAAAAGAGAGAAGAAAAGCGGGCTACAGATTTGTAGCCAGCTGCAGCACGAACTCCAATACATTTTGTGTGTATGAGAGGTGGGACTATATATTAGTGATGTAGTATATACTTATAGGTAACTATTATATGAATGAGCTATTAGATTGGCTATAGATGAATTGGAGCCTATTAAACTTGCCACCATACGTAAGAGACAATCTGTACACAAACTCTAGAGGAAAATGATAGTATTAAATTAAGGGGGGTTGTGATGATATGGATTAAATTAGAGTTAGCAACCACTGGCCTCTATTTTATATAAAACTTGCTCTTTTAGAGTACTTCATATTTCTATTTGAGAACGGTAGTATCAGCTCAAGAATCAAGACAGTCTGTGTTCCTTCCACAAGGTTCCCAACCTCACTCCTCCATTTTCCGCGCGCACGCTTTTCAAACAGCTTAATGATATGTTTTTTGCAAAAAGTTTCTATACGAAAGTTGCTTTAAAAAATCAAATTAATCTATTTTTTTTAAAAAAATCTAATACTTAATTAATCATGTACTAATGGACCGCTCCATTTTTCATGCGGTGGAGTTGAGTTCCCAACCCCAAGGATCAAACACACAGTCGTGCCTATATTTCTGAAGAGCGACTTCAACTGAATAAGTTGAGAGGAAAGGTATTGGGATAATGTGCTGGGGGTAGGGATGAAAACGGAGCGGATACAAACGGATAATGCTCATACCATATTCGTTTTCATATTTTTTGCCGGATACGGAAACGAATACGGATAGCTCGAATACGGAAACAAATACGGACTATCTTGAATACGAATAAGAATAGAATATGATCGGACACGAATACGGAAACAAATTTTTCTCGGAACATGAAAACAAATTCAACTTCTAATAGAAACAAATATCAACATATATAATTAGCTCATTTTATATAAAATGTAGTATAATTTATAAATATTTTTAAAATTTTAAATAATATTAATAATGTGGACTAATGTTAAGAGATGAACTACTATTAAAATCTAAAAAGGTATATTGAAGGTCATAGAGTTATAAAGAAATGAGATATGTCTTGTGGCTTCTGCGGATATCCGAATAACACTGTTTACCGGATATCCGAATTATTATCCGTATCCGACGGAAAACCTGATACCATATTCGTATTCGTATCCGAGAGAAAATATCCGTATCCGTATCCGTATCCGAACTATCCGAGAATTATCCGATCCGAAAGGTATCCGTATTCGTTTTTATCCGGAGCGGACGGAAACTATCTACTCCGTTTTCATCCCTAGCTGGGGGAACCGATCCTAGTATAGGCTCTTCTTACGGCTTTTCTATCCAGTGGATCGACATGGCTGTTGTTGTATGTGATACAGTACCAAGAGCGATACATATAGGGTACAGGGTTCACTATATTGGTTTAGTGTTTTCTACTGGGGTCACCGAAATCCTAAAATTTTAAAAATTTTGGAATTTCGGTCTGAAATTTCTGAAATTTTAAACAAAATTTAGTTGTATTTAATAAATATTATCCAAATTCATGAAAAAAAATTGAAAAATTCAAAAATTTCGGCCAAATTAATATCGTATCGGGGGTCACCGAAATGACCGAAATTTCCGAAATTTCTAACCCTGATAGGGTATTGCCTCTTCTTTGAGTGCGTTTATGAGCTACAGTACCCAAAGCTTGAACAACCAAAACCGGTCAGCATGTAGATATCTACCTGCTACTGGCATATTTTTGTTTAGGTAATGGAATTTATTTTAGCCTTTGCTTCAGAAAAACTACAACCCTTTATTATAGAGTTTGCAATTCGAACGTGTTACATATGTCAGTTGATGCATATATAGCAAGAAAACTAATTGGGTCACTATCCTAAAGACATAGCATACTTTCTATAGTTGGCGAAAACCCTACAGGTTGCATATACTTATTAGCGGATCTAGAAATATTTTTGAACCCGAGCAAACTTCAATTTACTAAAGAAATTCTATTTTAATTTTTTTAATTGTATGAAATTTTAATGGATTCCCCGCTGACGAGCCTGGGCGGTTGCTCAGGATCACCGGGCGATAGATCCATCCATACATATACATGTAGTCCTTGCTCTAATCAAACTAAAAACTAGATCGACTATCCAAAATCAGTGCCCGACCGTTCTATCAATCTAAAACTCACATCACCGCCGGCACCATCGAACCGAAGCGGAATGTATTCATCGAAGTATAACTGCATTACAAATTAACCGCTCGTCCAAGCGTAGTCGCTAAATGTAGACGGTGACCATCAACTGGTTAGGTTCTTGTTGTGAAACCAACCCACCTTCCAAACATAGTCGCAAAACGTGAGGAACAATAGATGGCGACCATTAACCGGTCCTATTGGTTAGGTTCCTTGTAGTGGAACCAATTCACATTGGTTCAAGTTCTAGACGTGATACATGTACTCACATTTATGATTATTTATTTTTCAGTGGTAGACGACGTAGCGTGCTGCGTTTTTTGGTCGCCGATGGCTGCTGCTCTCGCTATTGTGCGATGCGAACTTGCGAAGCTAAATGATAGGCGATCGAGGAAGGCGAGGCATCGGCGTTGGGTGTGTTGCCTATATCTGATCTCTCTCGATCTCTCGTTAATGGGCTGAAAAGGCAGACCATTTTTTACTAATGGGCTTACCAGTGAGAGAGAAATTGGGGCTGTCGGCCCAAATCTAATAGGGGTTGGGGGTGTGTTTGCCCACCTCGCCCCCCCTAGCTTCGCCACTCGAAGGTGAAGGGGACGTGGTGTCTCCATCCACGGGACGATCGCCCCTCGCCGTTATTAATTCTAGCTGAGCTCGAGCTCTAACGACCTCGATCTCGGCGGCACTGGGCAGATTACACTAGTGGAGAAACCATCTTTCATGAGTTGGTCAAAAATCACAATAGTTCTGGTTGCTCAAAAAACCGAGACTAAATAACATTTTTAGTCCCGGTTCATAAGTCCAATGGCACTTTATGATATTTAATCTGGTTGGTAACACTAACCGGGACTAAATATCGATCAATAGCTGTTAGGCCATGTCCGCCCCCTAACCGGAATTAAAAATCATATCTTTAGTTCCGGTTGATATCAACAATCGGGACTAGATATCTTTCTCCCACGTCCTACCTCGAGATGCAAATCCCACGTCTTTATCTCTCTCCCACGGCACGATTGACCCTAGAAAAATGAGAGAGACTGAGAGACCTAGCCACGTCCTTATCTCTCTTGTCTCTTTCTCTTCTAT